GGGGGGGGGGGGGGGGGGAATGTGAATTATTTGAAGATTTCTTTCATTGCAGCTAATGTGAATTTGTGGACTTCATATGGTATTTATACTGTTTTATTATGATCACAACAAGATGGATTGAACACACGTTACAATTACATACATTTATAAATCCGGACGTGTAAGAGAGCTTCAAAGCAAACCTTTCACACGAGCGGTAAGACTAACAACGAAAGTGCTTCAATAGAAGATTTATGCATAATATTACCAATTATTGAACATGTTAACAATGGCAATAGTATTGGACGATACTGGGCAACTTACATCCAGTGTCTCGATATGTCAAGTGCGGATTAATATCAAGAATTTCACAACCAGGAACATATAAATCACAAGTTTTCATATAAATCACAAGTTTTCAAATCCTGTTAATCCCCTTTTTTGGGTAAGAACATGAATGCACCGCCATGGACCCTCCTTTCAGGACCCACAAAATTAAATGCACTGCCATGGACCCTCCCTTCAGGACCCACAAAAGTAAGGCTGTTGCTGCCAATGTTAAACCTAGTGCTCACGTCCTCTTGCTTCTCCGAACCTACTGGTCTTGAGCCAGACGACGAGGCCTTCATTGACTGAGGAACCAGTACCTGAGGCGGGATAAACTGTTGTCTTTTAGCTGACCGCTTCTCAATCGAGTCTATGGAATCTGATATCACACTCACTCCAGAGGACAGGCACGTGTTATCAAAGCTACTTATAGCATTAGAAGCAACAGGAACCAATCCGTGGAAAAGTCCTTGTCCAAGCATTCCTCCTTTGATAGTCTCCTGCCCCCGAATTAGGCTGCTATGTGCAGCACATAAACCACTCTTTCCCCGTGAAAACTTTTCGCATTTTCCCTCACTCCAGTTGCACCTCTTTCCGCCACCATGGGCCTTACAAAAGTCCGTGCTACCTTGAGCACTCTTATCACAGTTTTCAAACTTGCAACGTTTTCCACCTCCGTGCCTGACGCAGCAATCAGTCTTGCCCCGTGCGCTCTTGGTACAACCTTGGACAGCACACCTCTTTCCACCACCATGGGCAACGCAGAAATTCGTACCTCCATGCACGCTTTTTGGGCATATCCCACCACCATTGAAGAGACAGCGTTTTCCGCCACCATGCCCTTTGCAGAGAGATGTACTTCCCTCGGCACCTTTTGTACACCCTGTAAACGTGCATCGTTTTCCACCACCGTGTGCTTTGCAAAACAAGGTACTCCCTTGAGCACCCTTGGTACAATCTAGGAATTGACATCGTCGTCCACCACCATGAGAGATGCACAGGCCAATCTGTCCCTCTGCACTGCGAGTGCAGCCGACCATCTTACACCTCTTTCCTCCACCATGTCTGATGCAAAGGCCTGACTTGCCACGTGCTGCTTTCGTGCACCCTCCTGGATTTCCACAGCGTTTTCCGCCACCATGTGCTATGCAGTAATCTGTTTTCCCCTCGGCACTTTTTGTACAACCTAGATACTGGCACCTCCTCCCTCCTCCATGGGCTTTACAGTAGACAGTCTTACTTTCTGCCCCGTTATTGCACCCAGGTTTCCGGCATCTATGTCCACCGCCATGGCCAATGCAAAGACCTGTTGCCCCACGGGCCCCTTTCGTACATCCAGCAAACTTGCATCTCTTCGTGTTGTTTGTCCTGTGATCTGAAGATACAGTAGCTCTTCCAGGTTCTGTCATGATACTGATTGAGTACTTAGAACTACCAGAAGGTTCAGAACTTTGCTGAGAAAATTGGCAATGAGATGCTGCTCCAAGCTCTAAAAATTTATTTCCTGTCAATGCAATTTCCGAATTCTCCAATCTTGGAGCCAGATAAAAGTTTGATAAATAGCCAGAGGATTTCTTGCCAGATGTAGAACCCTCGTCAGCAACAGGGATCACAAGTTTATTGCCGTCCGAAGATACTTGAGAAGTACATTCAGTGGAAGCTGAAAGATCGAGTGCTCTGGAAACTTCATCAGTAACCCCTGACAGACCTAGTTTTAGAATCGAATCATGGTCAGTTGATAGACCTTGTTCAAACATTGATGTCAGTCCGTTGCTTTTGTTGCCCCGCAAAGTTGAAAAGTTATCCGAGTATGTGCTAGGCGCTGGGCCCAATCCGAGCACTAACTTGCACCCATCATCTGGAGCATTCGCATAAATACATGGAACACCGTCAGTTCTACTGTTCTCGAACCCCGCAGTTTCAGATCTTCTGTTGCCAAAACAATCCAAGTGTAACGAGGTGTCCCTCGTGTTTCCATTCTTTAAGAGCTTGCCATCGAAAGAGGAAATCATACTGCTCTTATGTGATAAACTAAAACTCCTACCAGCAGAAGGTTACAAGATACTAGTAGGAAAATTTATAAACCAAAATGAAAAAAAAAAAGAACAAATTCTAACGGGCGACCTCCACCACTCACAAAGCCTGATGTGTCTGACCTATCCATTATATTACCTGCCTTAAGTAATCAACAAATTCGAATCTCAAAGCATTGTATTCATGAAGAGAACTAATAACGTTTCTATGATAGAATTCTATAGTAGAAGCAATCCAAATAGACATCGGTTCCTGCCTCTCGGTACAGAATCTTCATATATTCACCTGATATAACAAAGAACTTGACCCTTAGTTTCATATAATACTCGTGCAAGAAAATGGAAATTGAAACATTATTCGTGATGCAAATTGAGATCAGGAATTACAATTTAAGTCAAGTCAGATAAACACAGAAAAAGCCAAACAATGACGAAAAGAGAATATTTAACGAAGCCATATAAGCATTATCTGCTATAGCATGACATAACCGAAAAATATGCAGATCTGTGTTTACAATTCACTTCAAAACAGACTGAAATATCATAAATTCAATAAATAGAATTAGATCTTTAAAAATCAGGCTAAAATATTGCTTAATGGCTAATTGTTTATTGGGATACAGAGAATTAGTCAGTTTAATCATGGTAATCATCTTAATTTATTTTAGAGAATTATGAATTTATCCACATTAAGAATCAAAAGAATCATTTTTTAAAGTCATACTAAGATAACTTGTATGTTAAAGATTTCTTTTCTCAGTGAAGGTGAAAATAGAAACAAGGAATCTGGGTTGAAGAACAGCACCTCGAAGCCGTAGCGGAGCCAGCACCCAGTGAGCTCCGGCAACAACCCATGCTGGCTTCACCGGTAAAATTCTTTTGCCCTTATTTTTATAAAAAAGAAAATTGGGTGAACTGTAATAGAAGGCACCAAGAGAGGAGGTTATGCAGCCTGGGCTAGAAGGTGTTTCTGATTACCTTGGATCTTATGCCTCTGATTTCATAGAATTTCAGCATCAAAAAGAACAAAAACATGAAAAAAAAGTGATGAACTTTGTTCTCAATAATTTGTGTGTTAAAGATTTCTTATTTCAGTGAAGTGAAAATAGAAACAAAGACGCTGGATTGAAGATAACCACGACACGGGATTGATTTGTTTCATTGACTTTCTTCTAAAAGCGAGAAAATAATAGTTGACACGACTACAAAACCTAATTCCCAAGAAGAGTAATCGATAAGATATACAACAATATGCTTTTAAACCATAAAATCAGGAGTTTTCAATTATAAATGTAATTCAATTTGAGAGAGAGCAGTGGCCTTGAAAGATTTATGGTGTCGTAAAGATAACAAACGCTCCATACAAAGGTCATAGACCACTCACTCCATCATTAGCCCTAAGGATAAATCTAAATGTACAAAATACTTGGCTCCCCCCTGTTGGAGGGGCGCCTGCCACCACAGACGTCCCTCCAACAGGGGGGCGCCAAGTGTTCAGTTTGTAAAAAATTAGGTAAAACATTTTGTAAGTATAGCATGGTCCTTAGCCCTAAACTGTTGAAAGAAGTGATCTCTCCAGTCTATGCTATATGAGATATTATTACTCATGACATTGATATTCAAGATCATTGAGGGGTAGTTCATTATGAGCTAAAGATTTATCGTCTTTATAGGATTAAGCCCGAGTCATTGAAAATTCATAAACTTAGACATAGAAAAAAGAAACCCAAAAAACGGAGAGCCAAACGCACTCTCTACTCTATGCGACTCATGATAATAGGAACACAGAGTTGGTGAACAAGAGAAACATAGTAATAAACTAGAAGGTGAAAACCTTCGAAACTATGTCTATATGAAGAGGGGAACACAGAGTAATGAAATACAGCCTATGTGATAAAATTAAAAGCAGATAACAGTCAAAAAAAAAAATCTAAAATAAAAACTGCAATTTTCCAACGGCACTGATTAAATTCCGTAATCCTTTAAACAATTACGGGTATTCTAGCTGTTTATGAACCAAATTCAATAAAAAGATAACATTAAAATACGCATCAAACCATTTAATTCACCAAGCAATCAAGAAAATAAATGAACTCAAACTCAGAATCATACCAATACGAAGAACCTACATAAGCTTTCATAAAGACAGTATAAACAACATTGGAAATGAATTGGCAAGAAAAAGTAATGAACAGAAAATTACCCTTCAAAGGAAATTTCTGAAAAGAAGTCAACTTTTTGGTGAAGTCATTTGTAGAACACTCCCAGAAATATCAGAAAGAGAGAGAGAGGGTGGAAAAAGGGAGAACTTTATGAGGCCTAATGCAGTGTTAAATAGAGAAAAAATTCTTGATTAATTCAGTGGCCTTTTGATTTTTTAGTGGTGCTTAATTACTATAATACCCTTTGGTGACAGCAAGAAAAATATTAGCAGTGTTTCTTCCTTTCTGGACTGTCTTTGATAGTAGCAGACCTCTGGTTTGGAGTTTTGGACAATGCCAAACTTTTTGGTGAAAGGGATGAGATGTGTATTTTGACGATTTTACCCAGAGAATAAATACATTTTCCAGGCGAATATGAATGGCAGATTTGACTTTCGACATGTTCATCCCTGTGGGGCCCCCGGTGGAGTTGATCAATGGCGGAGGGGGAGCAATGAGCTTGGGACCTTGTTATTTGATATTCTTTTCACACCCGTGAATTGATATGATCATCTTTCTATTTCAAGAGAGATACAATTTTGCAATTAGATACTTCAAATTTTATAGAATCTATTAAAACTTTTATCAACAGCTTTCTCAAACAATACCTTAAATTTGATTTAGCGACATCGTTAGTAACTATGTACATCACACGACCTATTTTGATACTCGGTAGAGTTTTTCATCTGCTAGTTTATTATCTCACTTAAACTGTTAGTTAATAATTAGAGCATCTTCAAAAAATTCTTTAAAATCGAAATATTCTACGCTTCAAATAATCAAAAATTAAAATTAGGGTTTAGAAGACTCTTTATTTTAACTTTTTAAAATAAATTGTGATTGAATTTCTATATTTTTTTAAAGTCAAATTCATTCTTTGTTTTTTTATGATAGCATTTAATAAAATTTCAAATTTCAGTGCTGCACTACTTAGATTATTGAAAAATCTAAAAAATTACACTCTTAACCCCTGTTTGGTGGAAATTAAAATTATATTTTTAATAAATTTTGATAAAACTTAATGAAATGTGTTGTTAAAAAATTATATTTTTCATTGCATACAAATGGTCTCATTTAAAAGAAAAAAAAAAACTACAACTCAGTAATTTAAAAGGAGAAATTATTTTGAACATTTATACCCTGTTTGTCTACCATTAACTCAAAACTTTTTTTTACTCAAACTTATTTTCAACGACAAATTCTCACAATAAAATATTTTTCTACTTTTTAACTACGCATACTCTGAAAATGCACTATTCCAAAACTCATTTTCCTACTTTAATGGTGACAATCATAAATTTAATTACTCAGTCAGTGTGTAACTATATAAAGTAGAACTGACTTTATGCCCACGATGAGTAAGAGATATAGTGCATGTCTGGGAGAGATTGTGGCCAAATTTTAATTGAAACGGTGACCGTTAAAGGCAGTCGGCGGGACCCGCTTGTGAGAAGAGTGGTCAAAATGTGCAGCTGACTTCGGATGCTAACAGTGCAAAAATCAATTTTCTTTGATTGATATTGTGCATCAAGACATGGCCTATAATATTCACCGCTGATGTGACAATGCCACATCGACTTTTTTTTCTCATTTATTTATCCCTTACCATTGATAATATTGTCACATTAACGATGGACATTATAATCTCCATACACTGAGGAGGAGATCAATTTTGCTATAGAAAGACAGCGAAGAGAATATAACGAAATACTCTAAAATTGGTAACATTAATTCTTTTTTGGCAAGCCTTGGAATTACTCAGCACTTAAATTAGTATTTTATTTTTATTAAATGATTCCTCAAAAGTAAAATAATAAATGAGCCGACAAGAGCTAAGAAAGGGAATGTGTTCCTTCTCCACTCCCCATTCGCTGCATCAACGTCTTTATTCGATAAAATCTAGTTGAATGACACGTTTCAATCTCCAATTGGTGAATCCTGACGTGTACTCATAAATTCGAATATAATATGGTTTATGCCACTTGTAGGTAAAAAAATGTATATGGAGGAATATATAAAATGATGTTGAGGGAAAAAATTAGATGAAAATGTTTATTGTGTTTTAAACTGGTAAATGATAGAGTGATATGCGACATTATATAAATCATTATATAACACTTGATATACGTGTAATTGGAACTTATTTGGGGCAATTAGTACATAACATTTTCACCTTTTACTGTTATTGTGGAAAATGTTCTTACCTTTTATTTTTTGACATTTCACCCTTATTTTCACCTTTTATTGCGCAAAATGTCATTTTCACCTATTTTATCAATTAAAATTTATGAAATCACGAATATACCCATCTCTTTAAATAAAACAAAAAGAAAAAAAAAATTAATTGCAATTACAGTTCCAATTTTAAAAAAAATGCAAATAAGCCACAAATAAATTATTAAAAAGGTATTTAGTACATAATGCCCTTATTTTTTACCGTTATTGCGAAAAACGTCCATACATTTCATTTTTATTTATATTTGCACCATTAATTACACATTTGATTGTGTAAACCATAATTTCCATCCAATTTTCTAATAAAGAACTGTGTAATAATGAATATACCCTCCCATTTAAATAAAAAATATTTTTTTTTTAATTTCTAATTCTTTAAGAATTTATTTTGGACTCTTTTGCACTTTTTTTAAAAAATTAAAATTCTTAAATAATTTCTTGGGGACTTGTATATACTTTTTAAAAAGTGGGACTGTAATTGCAATTAATTCTTTAGTTTTTAATTTAAATAGGAGAGTATATTCATCATTTCATAGGTTTTAA